TATTAGGTGGTGCTTCTGATCTTGCTTAAACAACATCTTTTTCTTGAAGTTCGCTACAATTTTCAATTTTCTTTACTTTCCAGACTGCTTTGCAGTACAGAACCTCCTTCACCCAGTTTCAAATGATGCATGAGCAGCACATAGAAAAGCTCTTGAAATCCCAGGTTTCACTTTTCTAGGAAACAAAGATTGATAAAGTTTCTCCTTGAATTGATATTGGTGTTTCCTTTATCATTGTTAACAAACTGGAAAAATCTAACTGAAAATCATTTTAAAATATTTTACTTTGTCCAAGGAAAGGACGTTATGAAGAGTGAAGTCTTATTAAGAAAAAGAAATTCATTTTATAAGGTAACAATGATAAAATAGAAAAATTATTTGCTAAACTTACAGCCATGAATATAAATGTGTAGTTAATACAGTAGAAAATAGACAAGGTGAAGGACCAGTATCTCTTATAGCCAGAAAAGATTTTACAGTAAGTTAGGACTGGAATTTTTACTTAAAATATGTTAATCTATTACAGTCTGTTGTAGAAAGAGTAGAATTGCCTATAACAATGTTAAAAAAGAAATATCCCAAAAATATTTTTATGTAAGGGAAAAAGATATAACCTGAAATATTTTCTGTGCCAGCACTAACTCAGACATTTTCTAACTAGAAACCACAAAGTAAAATAAGCAGAAAGATAGCTTGTTTTCAGGAGTTTTAAAAGAATTAGACTACATTTCTATCTGAGCCCCAAAAAAGTCCTGAAAAAAATGCAAAAGATGCAAAGAATCATGTGAACAGACCAATAGAAGTGAAAATAAGTCTTAAACCTACTAAGAAAAAGATTAAGGAAAGATTTTGTCTCAGTCCTCAATGCATCAATGCAGAGGTTAAAAACTCAATTACAATGCATTTCAGTCTAATAGATAATAAAAATAACACAATGCAAAATTAGGAAGTTGAAGGATGTTGGAACTGAGCAGTGCCAGGCACTAACTTTCCTTAGAGTCACCTTCACTCTAGACAAAATTAGCAGGAGCTTTTCCTTTTCTTCATTGCTCTCATCAAAAGCTCAAGAGAGGGCACCAGAGCTGTGCTGAATTCCTTGGAGAGCCCCACAAGTGCTCTTACCAAAATGAGAAAGGAAACTATTATGCATTTCTTACCATCTTGGTTTTACTATTTCATTATTGTCAGCTTCATTTAGTTCAGAGCATGGAAATTTTCTTCTGCATGCAGCAGTGATGAAAATGCAAGCGCGTCTCCTTGAAATTTCCATTTTATTTTCATTCACTTATTCTGCTCCTTCCCTCTCCTCCGCACAACATGCTCTGTTCACACGTTTGCCCGTTGGTGTGCGCTATTTCACTGCTATGCTGGGACCTGCACGCCGGCAGAGTCCCTCACAATTGTAGTTTTCTAAATCTTTAATTTTCTGAGCAGCTGAAAAGTCATGTGAGACTCCAGTAGTGAGAGCAGACCTTTATTAAATTCTGGGTATCCAGAAGTGGGCTGCAGCTCAGAAGTGCTGATTTGAACTGCTGTGACCCAAACTGCTGGGGAGGAATAGAGAGAACAGCTGTGAACTGCCGAATCCCCAGTGGGTGGTGTGGTTTTCATTATTTTTTTTCCTCTTTTTTGTCTTTTGGAGAAACAGGGAGACAGGTAGGATAAAACAAATGTCACCTGGCAGCATGCTGTTGGCTCCCTTTTATGAAAAAACTAAAAAGCAAATGAGGTTTTTCCTCTTCTTTAGCTAGATGTAGAAGAACAGCTGGTTCCAATATTTTTTTCAGGCAGCAGTTGTTTCTCTGACATGGAAGAGAGAATTAATTATCTTCTTTCTGTGGGCATATGTGTGCTTTCCCCCCCCATTACTCTTAATCCTTCTAATCGTTTGAAAGATAACTCTCAGGCAGGTTGCCAGTGTCCCTGGTGCATGGCTGGGGCCTCACAGACCACAGCTCTGCAGGCTTGTGAAGAGGGCATCTGTGAACAAATCAGGTAGTGGTGGAAATTAGGTTCCCAGAGGAATATACCACCGTTCCCACAGCCCATCTGGCTTCAGAGCTGCACGCTTGCAGCCAGTGGTAGCTCTTTAACAAGGGAGAGGCCATCAGACTTGATTAACTCCCTATTAACACAAGGCTAGGACACCTATGGTCAAGACATTGCAAAAATTGGGGTCTTCTGTTCACTAGAAGCATAGACCTTGCACTAAATCCACTCTGAACATCTGTCAGGGACTTCTTCCAAATTTGAAAAGGTGACCTCAATTGCTGATTAAGCCTAAATTGCTGGAGGGTTCAAACCTTTGCTCTGAGCTGAAATCTTGAATTAATTACTATATTGGTCTTTCTTCATGTCTTTGGTTCATTGTAGCTGTCACCAGAAAGCACCCATGGCACCACAGCAGCTCTGCTGCTTGTGTGGGCACAGCCTCTCCTCACATCTCCTACGTTCGTATGGGATAACTAGGGACAGGCCTGGCAATTCCTTCCTTTTACTAGGTTTAGGTCTAGGTTTCTTTGCTATGAAAATTATAGCAAAGGATTCATAGTACTGTCCAATCAAGTCTAGCCCTGACATTGCTTTTTTCTCTCCAGAGAGCCCTTATCAGTGTTTCTTTTTGCATGCGTCTTCATAGAAAAAAGGGAATTGAAAGCTTTGTGTACAAGGACTTTGTTTCTGATTTCTCCTCTGCTTATTGCCTAGTTCAGGACTTCAACTATATAATGGGAGAAGAAACTTTATTTTTTGGCTTTGTGGAATGAATGCTAAATACTGTTCTTAGGGATGGGCGTGGACAGCCATTCTTTCTTGATAGGTGTCCTGAGACGCTTTTTGGAGGCCTCCTATACTAAGTTTCCTGCTACAGAAACTCACCTACCTTAGTAAGCATGTGGAGTGTCAAATAATCATCTTTCTGCTAGCATTGCAATATGTTTTGAAAGCTCACTGCAGAATTTAAATTTATTTCCTTTTTACTTTCTCCTTTTTTTTGTGCTCCTTGCCATATTAGATATATCTTTAATTTTGCTGTTTCCTGTATTTTCCTGTGTGCGTTTTCCAATATGGTCATTTGTCTTCCTTCTTATTTGTTCTTTTGAGCTGTCCTTCCCCAGCGCCTTTTAGCTCTCACACCAGTTAACTCTCCCCAGCAATCTTCCTAACTTTCTCAGTGCCTATTTCTCTCTCGCCCATACCAGACTTCCTCGTCTCCCCAAAATGTGGGAACACCACGTGCAGTTTTTACTGCAGCAGTCATCATTTGCTAAATTCTGTTAAAGCAGGAGCTTTTTTCTTGCCTTTGAATAGTGCCGTGTTTTCTGTTCTGCCTGAAAAATACATACCTGGCAGGAGAGAACACTGCTTTGGGGTACATCATCCCTGTGTTCAAACAACATCAGTCAAGCCAACGTCCGTTCAGCTGCATGCAGGCTATGTATGAAAACTTGTGGGTTTTATTTTTTTGAACTAATGGTGTTTGAAAAGGGAGAAAAAATATCATGGGTATACTGTTCATAGCATGAACCAAGCCTAAATGAAATATAAAAAAGCATTGCATCTTTCGATGTCCCATTATTTTACAGAAGAAAAATTTAAAAAAATTATAATTTTGATTATTACAACTGTCAACCCAATATTCTTCTATGGAAATCATTGCTGCCTGCTAGTGGAATTCCTATGCCCTTCATTTAAATTCATATTTTCAAACATTTCAGAACTGATTGGTTGCCTTAGGTTGCATTTTGGGCTGTTAGCTTGCAGTTTAAGCTGTAGGTCCTCTATTTTTTTTTCCTTTTCTTTCATTTTTTCCCCCAGGGTAGCCTTATGTGGCTACCTTGGTATCTTCTAAAAATACTTCATGTTGACCAAGTAATATGGGTACTAGTGTTGAGATTACTTTCAGAGGTTTGTTTTTTCCCTCATTCCCCTCTAATGCTACACGGCCTTCTCGTCTTCTGAAATGTGAATATCAAATGATGATATTCAGGTTGCGATAGGGCAGAAATCCAGGATTAGCGGTTTTAAAAATTGTACGGAAAAGATGACCATCTAATTTTGTGTGTCCACTGGCAGGGTGCGTCTGCTTTAATTAGATGCAAATCTGCTTGCTATATGTAGGTCCACCCCACTGTGGACTGTGTTGCGCAGTAAGACCGGAAGAGTTTTCCCCCGTAGTCAAGTAGGAGTATTTGAGAAGTTTGGTGTTCTATGAAAGCTGCAGTGTTTGGCAGCTTTAATGTTGACTGCATTGCTTTCCTATGCAGGTCGGCTTGATGGGCTAGCGCCATGGAAATACTTATTTCCAAGTCCTGGATATCTTTACTGCAGATTTGCTTGATGGTTTTCTTTTTCTTCTTTAGGGCCTACAGTATGATAGATAACACTGCGAACGCTTAATCCAGCTGTCATTTTGAAAAAGGGAGACCTCGACTCTGTGTTTTCTGTGGCTCTAGCACTGTCGAGGTTCTGTGATGTTGTGTAAAGAAAACCTGCTGATTTTGACAAGGCTAGTTCACAGCAACGGGTCCATGCTTTGAAATCGCTAACACACTTCCTTCTCTTCCAAAAAAATAAACCTTTGAAGAGGAAGCAATGTTTAACATATGTTTTATGTAGGAAAGCTACTGGATAATGAATTGCAAGTTAAATGATGCTGGTACTTAAACCTCCAAACTTTTCTCGCCCTTGTGCTATTGCACAGGCGTCACAAACAGCGTCTCAGAAGAGCAGCACGGAAAACCCTTGTTTTGGGGTAGCTTTCAAAGCCTTGCTCCCTGGAGGAGAGGGCGCAGCGCGCGAGGACAGTTTATGCGTGCGCGGGCACGGAAAGCCTTGCTGGGGTAAGGAGGCAGATCGCCCTGCCAGCGTTCGCGTGCGAGCCGGGAGCGGGGTGCGGGCTGCCGTGCCTTGGACAAGTGTCACGCCGCCACGGCCGCTCGGTCCCTCTGATTGGGTGCTCCCGGCGGCTGATTAAAAATGCTGATGCCGTTTCGCCGCTCTTTTCCACTTGGAGGAGAATTGTCCTTTCCCCACCCCCAAGCCCACCTCTAGGCTGTAAGTAATGGTGAGAAGATGAAGATGAAAACAGTGCAGCCCGAGTGACTGGAGAAATGCAGCAGTCTCTTTTCGCTGCAGTGCTATGTAGGAGCCGTCCTCAGACTTGTTACCTCTAGGTTTTGCAGCACAAACTGCTTGCAGGTTTTGGAAGGCTGGGAAAGGATTTACCATTTGTGTGTTAGTGTTTTCTGTGTATCATCATATTACCTTGCTTTTCCCTGGACAGCTGTGTTCAGAGCTTCATGTGGAAATCTTTCTGTTGAAGAGAGATAAAAAGGATCCTTAATCTGATTCTCTTTGGATCTTTCTATTTTTATGGTAAGTGCCAGCATGTATTGGCTGAGCGTAGCTTCTTTGCTGCAGTGCTCGTGCTCTCTCCCTCGCTCTCTCTCCCTCCCCCCTTTCCCCCATCTGTTTTTCTCCCCCTATATTCTTAGTTAAGCCTAGTGACCTTCATTCGATACCTAGCCATCATTTTCATCTGCTTTTCATATCAGAGGTCATCTAACTAAAATACAAGTTTTCGCTGCATCTTGCTCTTCCCCTCTCCGACCCGGAGCTCTGAAGTAGCGACTGCAATCGGAGAACTACCTCTTTGTCCTTGAAACGGGAGCCTTGGACGTTGCTCGCGGCTGCCCGTGGCAGCGCGGCACAAAAGGTTCTGGGGAACGGGCACGATGGCTTGGGTAGAGGTGACTCCTTTGGTGTAGAGGTCCGCACAGCCTCCGCTCGCCTAGCCATCTAGAAAACTCTGAACCCCCCCTGCAGCGCTCAGTGTGGGGCACGCGTGTGGCTTGTGCCTATTTGCTGCCCTTGCCATAGGAAGGAAGGGCTTTTTCAGCGTTTGCAGTGTAAGCCAGGTGTTTAGCATCTTAACAAGTGCTGGGATGAGAAGTTATAGAATAGGCACCTGATAGCTCTTATCCCTCTCTAGTCTATACAATTGCAAATTCATAGTGTTTTAAGTGCTTTTCCAACTCTGCAGTAGAAAAGAGCTGCCTTTAAGTTAAACGTTTGGGGGGAAAAAAAAAATCTGTTTACTTCATCCATTTTGTAAGCTATTTAAACAGCTCTGATTTTGTAAATAAGAAAGGTCATTACTTAGTCCATAATAGACTGTGTCCTATAAGCATGCTTTTTTTTCCCTTGTTTGTAGCAAGACATTTAAAGTAACTGCAAACATATGCCTTCTGGGGAAAAAAATATATATATGCACATTAGGTATGAGGGAGGTATAGTGCAAAAATATTTATTTTGACTTAAATATGGTTCACATTGTGAATCTATTGTGTGGCTTGACTATGCATAGCCATTACACACTGCTTTACAAAATCTTCAAAGGTGCACTGAAGGCATAGATATAATGCTATGGCTCAAACTCCTCACAGACTGATCCGCCCTCAAACCAAAGAAATGAGGAGATGTGTTCTTGTACCTTCGTTTCACTGAGGTAGCGTAAGAATAAAGCTTTTGTTCCATCTCTGAATTACTTTTCTGGGGTTTGAGCAAGTGATACGCTGATGTCTGGAAATTGTTTTCATTGTTTCATGTGTCCTACATCACGGCTTAATAAAATTCACGTCGTTTGACGACTCATCCTGCAATTCAGAGGGTGTGCTGCACACGAGCCCTATAGCTCAGCAGTTTCAGAGTTTGTGTGCCTCCTCTCCTCTACCAAATGAGTAAAAACTTTCCAGCAGTGCAGTTCCTTAGTACGCCTTATTTCTTTGCAGTACCTGGATGTAGCGCCTGGTTATACCGATGAGGTGTGCGGTGGGGGTGGGGAGCTCGGCGGTCAGAGCAGGGCTTTCCGAATATTGCAGGCACTGAGATATTGGGGAGGGGGGGGATCCGGCTGATGCCGAGACCCGCTCCCCTGCTTGCTGACCTGCCGGGGGCTCGCCGCAAACCCGCTGCCCGCTCTTGGCGCTTGTGCAGCTCAATGAGTCGCTTGAAAACGTTTACTACTAAAGCAGTCTTGGCCGCCGTCTGCTGCGGACGGGCTTTGGTGCTAGGCAGGGCCTGCCGCCTTGCTTAATTTTTCAGAACGGGTAATAAGGACGACTGAGTTTGCTTTCTCTCTGTTTCAATAACCGCTGACAATAATAATCACAGCGGCAGAGAAACTTTTTGTTGTGCAATGACGCCAGCAGGGGTCTTGTTAACGCTCGGAAGGAGGTTGCCCGAAGCGCCCGCGCGTTGTGACATTGCGTTTGGGAGAGCGGCTGTAGACTTCTGCCGATCGATTGTTAACAAGTCATGGCGGGTGTTTCTGCCCGTGCGGCTGTCTGCTGGGCTGTTGGGTGGCACGTGAAATTACTGTAAGCTTTAAAAACGGGCATTTGCAACATACTTGCACAGCTGAAGTAATTCTGGAGATCACAGTGAAGTATGCTACAGCAGGCTATTTTCATTTGTAAAACGACGATTATAGAAATTGGGCTTTCCAGTGCTTCAAAATAATCTACCTTCTTACCTAACATTTGATCAAAAGGACTTTTTCACTCCAAAATGACTCGTGTCTAAGAAAGTACTGTCCTGCAAAAGTTATTTTTTAACCTAAGTGCATAATCATGTCTTTCAATAAAAGTTTAAAAGCTGAAGGGCATAATACGATGTGTTTTCTAAATAGTCTTGAGGCAAAAGCAAAGGAGAAAGAACAGTAGTCCTTAAGTATTTTCTTCAGTGAGCTTGCAATGGGATCTTTAAATTTGGAAACTGATATCTGTGTGTGTTACAACTGAAAAGGCTGTGCACGTAAAATCTGTGTCAGCTTGTCCTATTGCAGACCCAGGGCCTAGAGCGTAAAGATACAATCCCTCGTAAAAGCCTTAAGAGGTAGAGAGGAAGAGTGAAAGCCCCAAAATAATATGAAATCAAAGTTGGTGTGGATGCTTTTCAGTGTTTAGGAATCTGGTGAATGCCCTGGTAGGGGGATGCGTGCATAGCACTTCCTTGTCTCGCAGCATGGTGTCACGTTAATTCCTTTGCAGGCTGTCTGAAGACTGCATAGAAAACAACTGCAGGGAGGGAAAGGGAGAGGGGAAAAAAAAAAAAAAAAGCAAGCTCTGTTCCTTAGCAAGCCCAAATCACCCAATGGCCTGATGAAGTCACTGCGTTATTTTTTTTTTCCTGTGTCCCTTCAGCATGCATTCTTCACACAATTTTTCCATAGAATCAAGTTCTGTAAAGCTCTGTACCTGGTTTAGACTACACGAATTCGCTAAATGGTACATTTATGTTACAAATAAAAGGGAGTACCTTTTTTTTTTGTTTTTCAGACAGCACATTCCCTTTTAACACTGCTTTAGTAATTTTGTGCTGTCTATTCATATCCTTTCTGGGGTGGGGTGTGCAGGCTGTTGATTGCCACCTGATGAAGAGGGCAGGTAGTGGATGAACTGTGCCCCCTCTTTCCTCTGTGCCCCAGACTGGAGTATAATACTGGGACATGCATGATGCAGAGCTCATATCATCAGTACCAAGAGGTGCTCTGGCCAGTGATTTTCAAAGCTGCTCCTGAAATCTGTTTACAAGTGTTTTCAAAGGTAACGTACTACATATTTTTATAAAACACATGTAAGTTATATTAATTGCAGTTTTATCTGTTTTTTTTTTTTTCCCCCTGAGCATACTGGCACAAACAGGAGCACACACAGGTTATCAAAAGTTGACTACAATTTCTAACCTTTCTCTGTTATTCGTGAAGCTGTTAGCTATTTTCCTAGACACGTTCTCTTTCTTTGGTCTGCAGATTTTGCCCGGGTTAATTTCAAGGATTTTTACAGATCTGATACTGCAAATATTACAGAACTGTTTCTGTAAGTCTGGAGACGGTAACAGGTCAGCTATCTTCAGCCCAGCTGCCACATATTTGCAATTTGTGGATGTCCAGCAGGCACATGCATGTGCGCTGTGCCACATAGCAGGTGGGAAGAAATGTAAGGCTTCTGGGCAGCTGTAGACAGGGTGTCTGTGTTGCATGTTCTCTCTGTACCCACATGGAAGGTTTAGCTTTTGGGCCTCGTCTGATGAGTCTTCTGTGCCTGTGTTGCCCCACTAGTCAGTGCTTGGACTTTATCCTGCTCATATCTCGGGGAGGGGGTGTGTTTCTGTGTCACACTCTCTATAAGTAACTATATAGTATTTGTGTAGATCTGGTTCTTCCTGGAAACTTCAGGAAATGCCTGGCAGAATTATACACGTACAGTTCCTGCATAGGAAATACTGGACAGTAAGGTGGAAGGTCTTCTGTATGTTAGAGAGCTTTTTCCTGCATAGCATAAACTTCAAAACTGTCAATCACAAGTACGTCATTCCGTGGTAGTAATGGAGCAGTATTGGGCCTGTTTACTTTGGGGCAGATCAGGGTACTGAAGCGTTCCTGAGGGACCACTCTGTCTTATAGATTTCTTTGGCACCTGAATATAACGTTCCATAGGAAATTTTAGAGGTGAAATGTTTACTTTCAAATAATTGCAGAAACCTTCATAATTTTTTCGTGGAAGGTGCAGAAAGGGCAAAACGGTATCTACAGTTAAGTCAAGCCAACTTTACGTGGTACCATTCTGGTAATCTGGGATTAGAAGAATCAAGAACTTTATATTATTGTTGCATTTTATATTGCAAACAGATCAAGCTGGTTTAAAGTTCAGGGAGAGTTCCTCAGCATCCCAGCGGAAGGAATGATAGCATCAGAGTGAGTAATGCAAATGTTCACTCTCTAAGAATAACATCTCTGAACAGGATGGATATTGCTGAAGCTGCAATTAAATCCCCAAATAGGGGAGCTAATGGTACAAGCTTTCTGCACATGGATGGATTTTCCTGTAGTGGAACACAAGTCTGAGGGAATAAGCCCGTGAAAACCTTCTGTTTCTGTGCAGGGGAGAGAACATAGTTATTTTCTAAGAACTGTATGTAGACCGCTTACAATACTGCACGACTCGTCTCTCGAAATACCTTCCATTCCATTTATTGTCTCAGGAGGAGCTACAGCAGGCACACTTCTAAATGTTGTTCATAAGTGTCCATTTCAGCCTTGAAGCTTTTCCCAAGCCCTGAGAGAAGACTTATGGGGAGCTGGGGATATGAAGAAGGTGAAGCCTGAACTAGAGTTCAGAGATTTCCAGGCTCTGTGTTTCAGACCTGACTGTCCAAAGGCAGGCTTGCTGTCCAAGGATTTTGCAGGACTTGGTTACTCTAAAGCCCATCCTATCCATAGCTAAATATTTTTAAAGATAAACCCTCTGAATTATTCTGAATGTACTCCCAGGAGTCGCTTCAGTATTGATGTTGGCTGATTGTGCTGGTCATTA